AGAAAACTTAGTCAGGACCATACACACATACACTCGCATTTATAGAAAACTTAATCAGGACCATACACATACACTCGCATTTATAGAAAACTTAGTCAGGACCATACACACATACACTCGCATTTATAGAAAACTTAATCAGGACCATACACATACACTCGCATTTATAGAAAACTTCATCAGGACCATACACACATACACTCGCATTTATAGAAAACTTAATCAGGACCATACACATACACTCGCATTTATAGAAAACTTAATCAGGACCAAACACATACACTCGCATTTATAGAAAACTTAATCAGGACCATACACACATACACTCGCATTTATAGAAAACTTAATCAGGACCATACACACATTCACATTTATAGAAAACTTCATCAGGACAATACACACACTTGCATTTATTGAAAACTTCATCAGGACTGTACACACATACACTCGCATTTATAGACAACCTCATTAGGACCCTACACACATACACATGCATTGACAGAAAACTTTATCAGGACCCTATACACGCCACACCCATACATTTATAAGAAATCTCATTAAGACCGTACACCTACACACGCATTTATGGTAAACTTCATTAGGACCCTACACCTACACACGCATTTATGGTAAACTTCATTAGGACCCTACACCTACACACGGATTTATAGAAACCTTCATTACGACATTATACACACGAACGCATTTATTGCAAACTTCATTAGGACCATATATAATATTTAGTATTTGTTTTCCAAAAACGTGAGACCGTATTGTTCCTAGTGTCAATATTTGTTCTCCAATAAACATAAACATTTACTCTTCTGAATCTCAGTGTTAGATACTATTTTTGTTGATCTGCAAAACGTGAGGAAAAACAATTAAGATAAAAGGTACCTTTAACGCAGGCAGAAACAATCCAAATAAAATGTATCTTTAACAGAGGCAGAAACAATCCAGATAAAATGTACCTTTAACACAGTCAGAAACAATTCAAATAAAATGTACCTTTAACAGAGGCAGAAACAATCCAGATAAAATGTACCTTTAACACAGTCAGAAACAATCCGGATAAAAGGCACCTTTAACTCAGGCAGAAACAATCCAAATAAAATGTACCTATAACACAGGCAGAAACAATCCAGATAAAATTTACCTTTAACACAGTCAGAAACAATCCGGATAAAAGGTACTATTAAACGCAAGCAGAAACAATCCAAATAAAATGTACCTATAACACAGGCAGAAACAATCCAGATAAAATGTACCTTTAACACAGTCAGAAACAATCCGGATAAAAGGTACTTTTAAACGTAGGCAGAAACAATCCAGATAAAATGTACCTTTAACGCCAGGCAGAAACAATCCAGATTAGATCTACGATTATTGTACATGTAATGTTAGCCCCAAAACATTTTCTAAACGAAATAGATTAAGCTTACTACCACTGAAACTGCCGTTCAACTAGTGCATACTTTTAAATTCAATGTCAACTCTATCAATAATTCACTGGCTACCTTAAAGATTATACTACACACACGTTTTAGATGTAATTCAGAAATTGAAGACCACTTGTTGCATTCGAAGACAACGACTTTACTGCTATTAGACCTCACTAATGTACTAGAACATTTTTAATAGCTGTCCACGTGTTTCAGACACCACAATAACT